GGGGGAAGGGGGATGCGTCTTCCAATTTCAAATCCTAATGTTGAATAGACACCAATCATCAGCACTTGAAACATTTTCTAGGGAAATACTCACAATCATGTCAAATAGTCTTCTAAAGACTAACAGAAAGTTTGAAAACATTCTAAAATAAACTGAAAATTCTCCCTCAATTCACAATTATACACATTTTACTCTGAACAGATATTCATGCATAGAGGATGACTTTGAGCAACATATCTAGTATCGTTGTACATTATTTCAAGGTGGGGGAGAGGTTAAAACATTGTCCATAGAAATAATATTATTTATTATGTCGGGGGTGGGGGTGTTGTTAGACGATATTTTTAAGGGGGAGGGGGATTAAAGCGGAGGGGTCATCTTTTGACCTCGTAACATGTGTACCAACTGCAAATTACAAAACAAGTGCAACCATTGATAAAGGGTTTATTTTTTTCAGTTTTGAAGTCTAACAACTTCCTTGTAATGTACACGTAAGTGCAGTCTTTCACATATTCCAGAAGCTATGTAAGGTACCCTGCCTTGCCCAAATGATAAAAGGATTTGCGATCGTTTCCTTACACGGTTAACTGGGGGTTATTACAGGTACCAAATTGGTACGATGCATTTTTAAATCCAATTTTGTATCCGTGCATGTGTGTATGTGTAGACATGTGGGTGTTTGTCAGTGATATGCACGTGAGAGTGAGAGTGCTTGTGCTTGTAAGTATCTGTGTTTGTTTGACATCCCTAAAATAAAGTTGTTGTTGTTTATTTTTACAGATCCCCCCCACCCCCCCCTTCCCCACCCCCAAAACCACGAAAAAGCACACAACCTCTAATGCAGTGGTTCTCAACCTCATGTTGTCCTCTAAAAATACTTGTTTTTATTTCTTAACGGAGCTCAGTTTTCTGTGAAATTTCATTTTTTAGCCTCACACAAAATTTATATTAAAGGCTTTTGGTTACATTGAGCATGTGTCACTTCGGGCGTTAATCGATCTTTGAAAATCTTGAGCGTATTTTTTCTTATTTATTCCTGCTATCACAGAGTCTCTTGAAATGTAGTTTTAAAGTGAGTATTTTCTTTTCTTGTGAGGAATTTAATGCTCAAGATTACAGTATCTGAACACTATCTTGCTCTTAATTATCTGTATTGTCGGACGTCTCTCTCCCATACCCTCACTGTTTGGATTTCAATGTCAACAAAAGGTTGTTGATTTTAGTGAGCACGTGTAGCTTCCGGGTGTTTTTATTTGTTTTGATACTCAGGGCAGAGTTGGCTCAATGGAATCTTTATGACACGCTGGCCGCTATTGCGAGACGCAGCCAACAACACAAAGATGTTGTGAAGACTGGACAACAAAGGCCGTTTCAGCGTTGTTTCACCCTCCAGTGATGTTGTTTCACACCTTGGAGAAGGAAACAATAGGTCTTTATTCGTCTTGGACATCAGCACAATCGATGTTACAAAAACTCTAGCCATGTAAATAACAACTACGCATAATCAACTATCCACACTTTGTTAATCCTTCATTTGACATGAACCTTACTAGGATTTTGATTGGCGGTGATAGGGGAAAGGGAGGAGCAACAGGGAATATAAAGTCAGCAGACCTGGACATCCTCCAGTTCACCGTAACGCTTTTACAGTGAGAGGTCGTTGCTTTTTCAGTGTGCCTGAGTATCGTTTCTCAACATCTGTCGTGAATTTTCAAGTATGGAAAGTTCTTCAGTTCCTTTGGTGAAGTTCATTTCTGGTGACTTTTGGTCATCCGTGAAGATGAGGCAAGTGCGCGTTCTGTGCCAGAAGACGATCACGCCGGTTCAAGTTCTGGAAGCGGCAATGGAAGACGACAACTCCATTCGCAAGGCCATCAAGAAGATACGTCTCACAGACTGCCAAGGCCGGGACAGTTGGCTGGAGATTTTTCACGAAATCAGTTTCATGGACTACGCTTCGCATCCGCACATCATGAAGATGGACTGGGCAGTAAAGTGCAAGGACTTTGTAGCTATCTGCATGCCTCTGTGCTCACGAGGATCTTTGCATGATGCGCGTCACCGTCTCAACAGGGAGCAGTTAGAGCGCTGCTTCGTGCAGACCGCCTGTGCACTGAGATATCTTCACAACAGGTGGGCTGTACACGGGGACGTGAAGCCTGCCAACGTATTCCTGGATGAATCCAACAACGCTATTCTCGGTGACCTGGGAATGTCCCGCCTTCTGGCACACGGACAAAACAGAGTGAGCAGCAAGAACGTACTCGGAACAAAAGGCTATCTCGCTCCAGAGATCCAGACTGACATCACCGTAGATCCTTTTCTGGTGAGTAACTGCAGAGTTTTCTACTTAGTGAGCTTGTTTATTTGCGTGTTTGATTTGTTTAAGTTTAATGTTGTGTAAAAGTTGTCCTGATGTTTGGTTTGTTTGTTTGTCTGTCGGTATGTTTTTGTGGCTTTGTTTCTGCAGTAAATTTATTGTATGTTTTTTTTCTGTTGTAAACAAGTAATTTTATTTTAAAATTATAAATGCGCTGTGGCTTTTGTTATTGGGTTATAATATGCATAACATCCTTTCTTTGTTTGTCTGGTGTAATCTTGTTTGTCACTATTGCGTACTAGTAGCTAATTGTATTTTCCCTTTCTTTTTTCTGTGTGCTCCCTGAAGGTCTTTGTATACTGCAGCAATATGCTGTTGCTTGGAACCATTTGCTCACTATTGACCAACTCTTTTTTCCACTTATTCTCTACAGTCGGACGCGTACGCACTTGGAGCAACGCTGTGGTTTCTTGTCTTCAAACGAAAACCTCGCGATGGAGAGGATCTTCTGCACGCTGTGAAATCCGACAGAACCCTAATGCCGCTCTTGGGCTTCTTCAGGTAACGAGACATTCTTTACTTTTGATCCTAACCCAATGCAGCTTTCTTTACTTTTAGATGAGTGCTGTTGATTCCTTGTAAATGAAAAATAAAATAGTAATATGTTGGTTTTTTAAAGAAAATACATACTTGTAGTCTGTTACGTAGAATATTCAGAAATTTCCATTTACCATAATATGAATACTTGCTTTCACTTGATGTTGCCGATTATTTATCTTAGTATTTTTGCTTACTCCACAGGTTTGTGCTCTACAGGCTTGTACAGAACAACCCACGACTCCGACTTTCAGTCTGCCATCTCCTGGAATTCCTTCGTGAGCGCTTTCAGCAGTTCAGGGTAATCATAGACTCTCTGTAACGAGTGCAAGTGCTGTATTTGCATACTTTTTTTCCTCTTTTCTTTCTTCATTTTAGCACTTTCTAACAAAATATGGTGTTGAAGTTGTTTCTAGTTTTCTTATATTTCACCCATTTCCGTTTACCTAATTCACCTAATAATTGAATTGAATTGCTATTTTGGTTTTTGAAATGTACTACACTACTTTAACTTTTACTTTACTTACAAATTTGTCCACCCAACGACACATATTTTGCACTCGTGTTTGTCGTAACCAACAGAAAACTCAATGAGGCTGGAAGCAGGTGTCTTGGACACACCAAGGCAAGCTCAGGGCCTGTACATCACCAGCTGAAGTCATCATGTGAGTAATGGGGAGTTGACGAGGACTTTACACATGTTGCTGGTGAGTTGTTACCCTCACTACCGCTGAGGGGGGACCTGCTACCTACGAAGTGGACACAGCATTTTCTCTATTTTACTTTACTAACATAGTTGTCTCACAGTAACTAAAAAGTTTCCATTTTATCTAACACTGAAATGTCTTGTCTTGTACGTGCATTTCTGTGTTTTCATTAATGTGTTACTAACGAGCCGAAATTATTCCAGCCACTGTGGGGGCAGCGCTTGGTTTAATCGGCTACTTTGTTTTGTCTTTTTTCAGCTGTTTCAATAACAACTACTCAATCGTTAAATCACTAGAATGCAAACTGTAGCTATAACTTACTTTAATTAGCAAAATATACTAATTTCTAACATCCAATTTGTTGACTGACCCAACCCATAACACTAACATTCTTAAACTGACTAACAACTAACATACCCCAGACGTGAGCGCTCGGTAGCGCCGTCTTTTTAATCAGGCCTCGGTGTACAGTGTACCCTGAGACGGTCCCAAGCCCGTGGAAACTGAGAGGGAAAAGGCGATGATGCCAACATAAAAAAACAATGTAGTTTTATTTCATCGGTATGTTTTGTAACTCCATTCAGAAGTCTGTATAGCATCTCATTACTAAGACATGTTTTTGTTTCCTGCTCGAAGTGTAGCGTTGTGCAAATACCACTCCAAATCACACGGTAAGGATTATTTCAACTCCAATAGGTTGGAAGGTTAGAATGCCCGTAGCCCAACCAAAATACATAAATGCAGAAAGGTTCACAGGACAAACATGTGTTGTGCCACACAACCAAGCTCTCAACAGCAGCGCTATGTACCCACAGATAAGACATCGGAAAACCACGGAATGGATCAAGTTCACAGTATCGTGCAGACGTAGACTGTTGGAGATTGAGGAATGTCACAAACCATATGGCCCAGAATTATTTTTTTCCTCCTAACTCAAAAGGATCCTTTCATTTGCATCCAAAGGTTATAAACTTTTAGGTCAAGAATTAATGGGTGAAGATGTTTGGGTTACTTTAACCTTGAGAACAAGTCACACGATGTGCAGTTCCCTTGATCACTTAATTAAGCTATTCCCTCGTGTTGTCCTCTAAAACACCTTTCATTCTGTTTTTGTTACTAACTGTTGTTCAGTTTTCTGTAAAATTTCCTTATCAGCCTCTCACAGAAAATTGACACAGATGCATACTTACAGGCAGACTTTTTTCAACTTTCAAACGACATCTCCCAGACACACTCTCCCTTACAAACACAAACACACACACACACACACACACACATACACACACACATACACACACACACACACACACACACACACACACACACACACACACGCGCGCATACAGGACCCATACAGAATCAAGAATTCTATCCTT